AGTTTTCTGAGACAAATTTTTTTTCTTTACCAGTAAGAGGTTTTTATTTAATAGAATTTTTGGACCAAAAATATCGCAATATATCGCCTTGTTTACAGTATCGGGATATATCGGGATATATCGGGACATATCGTATCGTGACCCCTCTGTCATGATACGTATCGTATCGCCAAATTCTTGCCAATACACAGCCCTAGCGTACTGTGGGCTGCAGTTCTGAGAACACATCAGGCCCATTTGGAGACGGTGTGCTGACACGTTAGCCATTGTGTGGACTGCTTCCTGGATCCGAGACAAAACTGGAAATGCACAACTCGCACCCGTTCACACAAGTAGACAGACAAAATGCACAAAGTGGGGGGGAGAGAAAATATTTTCCTTGTTAAAGTGGGTGTGAGAGATGGGTTTTTTTTCCATGAAAACCCTCCTCCAATCTGACCGATACCAGCGGCGGCACCGGAGCAGGTTTAAATGTGCGTGGCACAGCTGCAGCCCAAGTGGAAAAACAAGAGAGTAAAAAATGATGATGGATGAGATTACTTTGTCACAGTCAGAGGATCAGATATGATGAGAAAGCTGAAAGATTTAGAGAAAAATTCTTATTTCCAGAATCCTCCACTGACATCGGTGATGGGTAAATTCTGGGTTTGAATCTTGTTCCTGACATTTTCAATCAACCCCCAGGGGTGGGATCTTTTCATTCATTTATTTATTTATTTATTTATTTATTTGTTTGTTTGTTTGTTTTTGTTTTTTTTGTTGGGATGAAATGAGACACCTGTCACAATGAAATGCAAAATTCTCTTCTGAGAAAAAGCTGTTAATCCTGATATAAAACAATGTTTTTCATTGAGTAAAAGGAATGCAAGAGAAGAAAACAGAAATGTGCTGATAGTAGCTAAAAGAAAGAAACAAATCACAGACATCCGAAGAAACTAAACACAACATGTTTATAAACTTATATATAAGGTTTCAGGAAAAAAAATCTCCACAATTTGATTCGGTTCGATACTTTGCAGGAGTGTCAAACTCCAGTCCTCGAGGGCCGCTGTCCTGCATGTTTTAGAGGTTTTAGAGTTCAAACACACCTGATTCAGTGATTGAATTAACTCTTGAAATTGAGCAGAAGCCTGTTAATCAACCAGTGATCAAAATCAGGTGTGTTGGAGCAGGAAAACCTCTAAAACATGCAGGATAGCAGGCCTTGAGGACTGGAGTTTGACAGTTCGATACTTTTAGTGTTACAGTTCGGCAGTTTTTCGGTACAAAAAAGGGAAATTTCCATGCACTTCTAAACTTGTAATTTTTTTAAAATTAATTATGAACATTTGTTTAACCTCAAAAGTACAGTTTTTTAATTAAATATTGCTGAAACAGCAAGTTTCTCAGTAGATCTGCGCTCGACTATGCAGCCTAGGTGGAGTAGTCCAACACAGATCCACTGAGCCTTCAAGACACATCATATCCACAAGACAAGCTGATAAAATACATTTTAAAAATATGTATTGTTCAATACGGATACATGTATTGTTGCACCCCTAATATTTACTCTTTTCCTCACTATTAATGTCTTTTTTCCACTTTTACTTGACTATTAAAGAAAATAACTTTAGAATTTTATAATCAGATAAAACTTCCATTCAAATTTTTACAACAAACTATTTAGTGCAGCTTTACTTTATTCATGTTTTAGTATTTCTTTGAAATGAACTCCTCGTTAAATCCTTAAAGTCTTTTAGCGCACATATAAAATGTTTTTTGTCCGTTACCCAAGAGAATGAGTTTCAGCGTCGTCTCTACAGGGTTCTCGTTTCTGAGAAGAACACAAAAAGAGGAACTAACATGAATATTAAGAAGCAGACGGATGTCACTCTGAGGAATGCAAACAACCGCAGACAGAACCCCTCGGCCTCCTCTGTCACAAGTTTCTGCTTTTCAGTGACTTTAGGAACAGAACGGGGGGACTAGAAACTCATACTTTATTCATAATTAAAACATTCAGTAACTGTGTTAAATCCAGCCAACAAAAGTACAGATGGGTTGGAAGACTAAGCTTTCTAAGATTTAAATGATTTTAAAGTGCCTGTGACATGCAAATGCTTCAAATACAAAAAGTCAAAGAAAACTTCTTTCTATTTTAGAAACCTGGTATAATACACATGACTTTATACATTTTGTCACAAAACTGACAGATTTTCTTTTGAACTCAGTAAAAGTACAACAGGAAATGACATCAAAGGGGAACTCTTCAAGAAAAGGAAATCCCTGGTCTTTGTTTATTGAAACGATATTACTTGAACTCTGAACAGTCTGTTATTAGTTATTGTAGCAACACTCCGTTCACATGCAGACATTCCCCTTTGACATCACTTCCTGTTACTTCACATGTGAATATCTCAACAACGGTTCATCTCAGTGGTGTGAAATTTGTTTTGCAACACCTTATTAATGTTATTTTTCCAAAAATGCATTCATATCTAATTCAAAAATTTGATGTCACAGGCACTTTAAGTTTTTTGTATATTGTAATAACAAAATTACTCAGTAGGAGACTTGGACATGTGGTATAGTAGAAGATCACAGATACAAGCAGCAAGAAGGAAATTAAATTATTGCACTGTAAACATAAATGATGTCAATATCATTTTTATTTCTTTTGAAGTCTTTGCACAGATGTTTAACAATAATTAGGCCAGTGATGGAAGCCAATAAAGAAATCCTTCATCTCATGTCTCTAGAGGTAGTTCATAATGAATTTTAGGATTTATTTAGGGAGCTGTTTAGCTTACTGTCGAAACCATATTCTCTCCATCCAGAGCTACTTTACAGTCAGGAGGATGTTTGCTTCCAGAGTTTGTCAATAAAGTCAGCAGAATTGATCCACCTTTAGTAGAAAAAATTGAAAAGTGAGCACTTTTTCAAAATATAAATCCGGTTGAGCTCTTGTGTTGAACTGTTCAGCTGCAACCTTCTATAAATGGAAGTTGGCGTGAGATTAAAGAAAAGGTTTTACATTGTGTATTTACTTACAGCCCGGGTAATTAGCATCCGACTGCCAAATGTTTTAGGGCACACGATTTACTATTAAATGTGATCAAAAGTGTCTGAACTGATGAATTTGTTGCAAATCTAAAAGAACTTCAGAGTGTATTTATGGTATTTGTGCAAAGCAGTCAGAAGAAGTGCTGCCTTTAAACGTGTCAACTGTTTCCAGTCTTAATGGTAGGAAAAAAACACAGATTTAGAGCATAAGATAGAAGGGTATGAGTCACATTTTCTTTATTCGGTGTCTGTGTTTATATGTGGGGAAGTCTTAAATCAGCATGTTGAGGGAACAAAAGCAGATTTCATTTTCAGTGCAGGGCAACTGCCACGCTTTAAAGCACAACGAAGCCTGATAAGCATCATAAAATCGACAAAAACAAGACTCTAAAAACAGACTTGTCAAAGATACTGATAGATTAGATCACTTACAAGGATCCAGTTGGAAAGATCTGCAAATAATATCATTTTGAAACCCAAACGGTCCAAACCAAATTCTAGGTAAAACCTCAGCTAATCTTCTGAATAAACCCACATATTTTAGCCCACTGTTTTTTAAAACACCAACTTATCACTTCGATTTTTTTCTTCCCTGGAAAAGATAAAAGAAAACACAGACTTTCACCTACAAACTAACTTACTACTAAAGTGAAGAGAATAAAGACAAGAAGTAATGTCTAATTCATGAGAGAATTCACACAAAGAATGAGAGTGTGGCTCAAACAAAAGCCCGGATTATTATTATTATGCAGCCGGAAAACAACAGCAGCAGTCTTGCCGGGAGCCATCAGTGGGCAGAGAGGACTGTGGCTGGAGCTGCGGAGCAGAATGACGAGGAAATAAGGCTGACATTTGGAATTTTAAATGGCTGAAACTCGATCAAGTCGAATGCCAAGGGGGGGCTGTTGGCAACAAAGATGGCACTAAAACTGAAATACGGAGGCGATAAGTGAACGAGAGCAGGGCCAGGTGAATGAGAGTACAGCTGAGGCTGCCAGAAATAGAAGCCTAAATGGGCTTTAAATTTTACCAGAGCTGAACAAACTTATGCAAATCGACGTGAATCATGGGACTCTGAAGTCTAGCTGCTGGAGGTGAGACCTCAGAGATTCAAATGAGCTGAATGGAGACTTCAGCAAGGAGCTGGAAGATCAGTGGGACACAGCTGGCCTTCAGCACAACCAGGGCT